AAATAAGAGCAGATAAGCATTTGCCCAAACCCTGAAACGTCGCTGAGGTTCAATCCTTGTTAGGCATGATGAACCATCTCGCAAGGTTTTACCCGATTCAGCTTCAATGTCTGCTCCTTTACGCAGCCTCCTCAACAAAGACCGCGACTGGTCTTGGGGACCTCAACAAGAGGCAGCTGTTGAGAATATCAAGACCACTCTCAGCTCGGACAGATGCCTGGCAAGGTACAAGCGGCCACTGTGTGCGGGTCTGGACACCAATGCACCGACATGGACTTAGCGGGAAAACGTTTTCGAGGGTACTTCGGGCCATACAAGACTCTTCAATGCCTCGGCGCCCTGGACTGGGAGGTTATCCCCTACGGCATTATGAAATAGCAGCGGCGCCGTGTGCGACCTGAAGTCATTCATGTCGTGCACCTCAAGGTGTTTCATGCGTGTTGTTGAGCCAGAGAACTAATTTTTGCTTTATTATTGCGTCCCACCGCAGTGGTCTAGTGGCTATGGTACTCGGCTGCTGACCCGAAGGTCGCGGGATCGAATCCCGGCGGCGGCTGCATTTCCGATGTAGGCGAAAATGTTGCAGGCCCATGTGCTCAGATTTGGGAGCATGTTGAAGAACCCCATGTGGTCGAAATTACCAGAGCCCTCCACTATGGAGTCTCTCAATCATATGGTGGTTTTTTGGATGTTAAACCCCCACAAATCAATCAATGCTTTTAATTACACTTTCTTGCAAGTACCATCTTCTGGTTGTACTTTTTCGTTCGGGTATTGAACTTACATATTTGATTAAGGCAAGAATTTTGCAGAGGGTGGCAATGCCACACACACCTTTATTTCCATGTTTTATGTTGCCGGTCTATTGCACGTGTTGACAATGCCTTACGTAAACCACGCGGGAATGTCCAAAAGCATTCCAGATTATTTCATGGTCATCTGGTAGGCCAGAGCACGCAAATGCGATCAGTGGAGTGTGTTCTCGAACTTTGTTTTCGCTGAATGTTTCTCAGTATCGTTGCAATTTATTTTTTTTTTCTTTTTAATTGAGCACTATTTGGCAGTCTTAAGTACTTACGCTTTGATGTTTTTGTGTGTGCTTATGCTTTGTGCATTTTAAATGTGCGTTTTTATGCGACTCTTTCCCTGCTCCCTTTGCAACAAATCATACTATTTTACTCTTTTTTAAGCTTTCTTAGTAATCTTTGTCACTTAATTTTGTCCTTGCATCACATTACCAGCACGTTATTAATGTTTACTTTTTTCCACTCATGTATTTGCTTTCTTTAGATGTTTTCTTATTTTGTGATGCTCCCCTTACTCAACGCTCCCCATGAGGCCTCTAAGGTACTTTTCAATAAATAAATGCAGACACCAATATTAAGAGGGCAGGCTACCACCGGATACCAACTTTTTTGTTTATTGAGATATCTTAATGAAATTTTCAGGATAGACTTATAGCAAAAGCATTAGAAGAACTGCAAAATTTCATCAAGTTATGTTCACTGGTTTTCAAGTTACAGCAGAATATCAGGGTAGTGCACATGGTTCTCTTATTCCAGGCCTGGAGAACTTTCAAAAGGTGCTGGAACTGTGAAATTAACTATGATGATTTCCAGATTAATACTCCAGGGGGTAACAGAGCCCTTTTTTTTAATTTCCTTGCTGAAAAGTTTTAGCAGACCATCAAACTTTGTGTTCGTGATTAAGATATTATCAATCAAATTTTGATTAAATATAATAAATAACACACACAATATATTGAAAAAATGGGCTTGTCACCCCCTCAGAAATTTATTCATGTACATAATAAAAAAAGACTTATGGAAATCCAATGAGTGGTTCCAGAGATATGGCTGGAATAAGCAGCCTCACTAGCCAAAAAAGTCATTTTGAGAAAGCGGCGTTTGAAAGTTTTGAGCACATAGGCAGTTCTAAAGTGAACCTGCAGCGTAACTGGAGGTGTCCTTTGGCACTCTCTTTCTTTGCCGCCTTTCCATCTTCTCTAGGAATCGCTTCTTAGCCTTTTTCAAGTGCAGAGAATCTTTCTCGGCTGCCCGTTGAATGGCCAGGTGGCCAGGTGTTAGCCCCACTGATGAAGCTAGCTCTTGGGTGGCCCTGTAGCAGCCAGCATTGTATCTTAGCACTGCATCATGCAGTGCTGTCTCCACAGCAATCAGTGACGCATGCTGCTCTTTGGGCATGAGGGACCACAGCACCGAGTGAAAGGACTGATGCATTCTGCGTCTTTGCTCCCAGGCAGCGTTGCAGAAGAGAAGCCTGTGAGAGCCTCTCATAAATGGGTAGAAGTGCATCTGCAACATAGCGTGGCAGCTTGTACGAATGCTTCGGAGGTGGAACACCGGTAATCTTGCTGGCATTGTGACGACACCAGGAGTCTGCACCCTCTGGGCACAAGTCGTGGTGCGGCTCCTCATCCGTCGACGTCACATGGTGGTACGGTGCCATCACTGCCCGCCGCATTGCAGCCACATCATCGGAATTGTTCCGTAGGGCCCCGCCATAATAATCTGTCAACTTGTCGATGAGGGCCTTTGTCAGCCTGCCCTTCCCTCCCAAAGCCTTGTCACTTTTTTTGCACAAGGTTGCGAAGTGCAGTGTGCAGTCCCCATCCTCTTCTGAACGTGGTTCAGGCATTCCTCTTTTGAAATGGGGACCAGTCCATAAACATTTTCTTGTACAAGAGCAGAGAAGGTGGCACTATCTCCATCAGACACGAGCGTTGTGTAACGGAGGTTGTGCTTCGACAGTGAGCGTGAAAAGATGATAGCTGCCTCAATCTCCATTCTCCCTGATTTAGAGTCCGTTTTTCTGGCACACATGATTCTCCAGCCAGCATGCATGGTCTGCGTCTCCAGGCTTTGGCCCTACTTGGCAACCAAGGCACTGATTAGACAGAACAACGGTGTCCAAGATAAGGCCCGTATGGTATTCGATAATTTCCCCCCACTCCAATATGGGATGTGTGCCCACGCTTGTGCCATGTTCCATCATAACAAACTTATATCCCTGGTGAAATATTGATCCATTTCTTTGTAAGTGGCTTTTACAGCAGAAGCAGATTCTGCATACAAATTTTCTATGCATTGTGTCTGCGGTTCCCTGAATTTCTTCGGGTGCTTCTGAAAGGTCTTGTGATGGAGGCCACGATGGGACACGTTCATCGCTGCCCAAAAGTCGTTGAGAGCCGTTTGTCCCTTGCCTATTTGTTTTGTTGCCATAATGGCTCTTACATTCACATCAAAGGCCTTTGTGTCGTCCTGACGAGATGAACTCCATGAGCTTGAAACTACTCCACAATGCAAGCATACTAGCTCAAGCTTTGCGGCAAGTCCAAGTTGGGTGCCTCCTCGTACCTTCATCCCAATCGCGGTGCACCGGTGGCACGGGGTCCGAGATAGCAGGTCGTCTAGGGCATCCATTTGCACAAGGAAAAATTTTTCGCCTTCACTTGTAGCGGTGGCAGCTTCATGATCGCGCTCCATTGCCTGAAATTTCCGCTCCGTCACTGGCATAGCGCCAAGTTCTCTTTGCACAGCAGCGCGTTGTTGATCCGCCGCCTCTTTCTCCTCGCACGTCAGGAAACTTGTTCGCAAATGCACAGTTGACGACGCGATCGCACTCGAGGCCGATGAAAGAGAAGATGCGGAAGCCACTGTCGATGAGCACGAGACACCAGACGCACTTGTAACGACAAATTCTTGCACCGGCGGAGCAGCAGTCCCGTTGCTAGGCGCGTCGATGCGACCACTCTCTTGCGTAGATGAAGCAGAAGCTGCCCCACGTCGGCGCGATCACCGTTGGCGCACGGACAAGCTTCATAGCTCGCTTCCTTGCACCGAACGATTGTAGCGTCTTCTTTTTCGTTGGGCGCATCGTGAACGAACACAACAACGGTCTCGTATAGACGGTTGAAAATCGTTTCGAAGACAGTTGAAACGTGGAGAGTATGCGAACGGCTGCAACGATACACGGAAGCGAGCGGAACACAAAGACGCCGGACGGAGGAGCAGCAGACGAGCGGCCGCATCGGCCGCATTATGCGCAAGAGCGCTACGTCATCGCGCGCAGCAGCCAATGGCAGTCGCGGGCTCCCCGCGTCCTTGGGGAGCGCGCGCTTCGCCCAATCCCAGCTGCGCGCCTCAGCCACGGGAAACTTGAAAGCTCTCGCGAGCCCTCCAATCATGAGCGGCTTGATCCTCTCCTGCGCTGCCGCCGGCGACGCAGGTGGCGGGGAAAGAAAGAGCAAGAATTCACAAACAAAACAACACCAAAATGGCGGCGCTCCGTCGAGCGGCCGAGAAACTGCGATCACGCCAAGGTGGGGTATTTTCAGCACTCCCGCGCCGCTCTTGGGCCGCCGCGGCATGTTTAAACTTTATTTCAAATGGTTTCGCGACGAATTAGACGTTGATATTTACAGAAAAGGTAGTTTATGACACATACTGCCCGAATATGTGGTTTGCCAAAAATCGACTTTTTCACGATTTTTCGGTTTTCAAAGGCCGCGTCCCCCCTTGATGCTTGAATGTTTGCTAGCGCATGTATTATTGTCTAGATGCTTTGCCGCAGATAAGTTTATGAACGCGCTACCATCTCCAGTGTGTATAGCTGTAGTTTGGCCTTCAGTTTCCTGCACACAAGTTTGGCCAAATAAAGAGTCACTTCTTTAACATGCAGACTGCTGCCTTCATTGATGTCAGGACTACATGATGATTATGGCTAGGTTCACGACATAGCCACAGACAACATGAGTTCAGATAGAGGCAGGTCTGCAAATGATATTCTCATGTTAGACTGAAATTGCATGCAGTTGTTCAATGGAAGGAAATCGAGAACAATAAGGGTGACACTACACCACAAATGGGTCAAAATTCACATGCACACCAACTAGCTTACAATTTGTTAAAAACAGCTATAAAACAAATTAAAACAAAAATTCTGTTTTCAGTGTTCGTAGTTGAACTGTCGCAGCTTACTCAAAGTTTCGTCCCGTCGTAGCTGGATACAGCATTGACAGCTTCATTTTCTTGTCGGGGCCAATGATGAAGACCTGCACGAGATAAAAACAAACAAATTAAATTAACACATTTTACTAATGGCCTTTTGTGACTGCATAAAAACACAATTGTCAATTGAGTAATTACATTGTATTGTTTGTTTAAACCATGAAAATTTGCGCACATAAAATTGCATAGTCATTAACACATATATGGATACTAGAAATAACAAGGAGGGCAATGCTGCAAACTAATAAAAAAAATTGAACAAGTCCTTCTCGAAATACAGGACAATTCATTGCATGTAACCAAGAAAAAAAATTTTTAATAAACTTGAAAAAACATTGGAGCTGCAGAATAAAAATCTAATCTCAGCATTGCTTTCTATGTACATTTACTACATTGTGGAAAAGGAATTATAGCGCTAGCTGTCCTAGGTTTGCTTTTACAGAAAAAGCAAACAAAGAAAGTGGTCAAAATCGGTGTTCAGAGAAAATGACAAAAAATAGTCAGAACTTGATTTCGCCATTTTGAGTGAAAAATGCCATGTCACACAGTCAGTTAATATACAACGGGCATGTAATCAGACTAATTCTTAGCATAGGCATGTCGTTTCTGTGAAGTTCTGCTGCTAGATGTCGCCGTGTGCTAGTCTACTGATAAGGCCTCTTGAAGGTACTGACACCGATGTGTGACGAATGTGCGTGCGTCACCCGGGATCTGTCGTACAACACAGCGATGTTTTCTGGCTTGTCCAGTATGAGTTAACGTAGATGTCGCAGCCTGAACTCACGCACTTGCTCAGCAATTTCAAGGCTGCATGAGTAGCGAGGCGTTAGTTTCCGTTTCACGCAAGATTGACACATTTTAGATTGGAGATCGTGACGCAGTAAGTTCGTCTTTGTGAATGCATCATTCAAATCCCTCGGCCTGCTACCAGTAGCCTCTGTTGCGTTGGCGGCAAGCATGCTCCGTGAACAAATTGATTTTCTATTTGTCGACGTGCAGCGAACTCCATCCTGACGACCCGTCACACAGTGACGGGTTGTCACAATTGACTCGCCGTCTGAGCTCCCACACATGCTCCCACAGCCACAAGCGAGAATGCTAGATCGGCTTGTCTCAATCTCGAGATGTTGCCATGGTTGTGAGACTACCTTTGGCATGAGCGAGTTTGCTGTGTTTAGAGTTTGTGCAGTTTAACCGTAGGCGACCAATAAGCACCGTTTCGATTAACCAATGCATTTTACTGCACAGCACATAGAAATCCAGCCATATGAGTCCATTTATTCCATTATTGAGGCATTTTCATTTAAGAGAGTTTCATTTAAAATGCTTCGTATATGGCAATGCTATCCGGAACGATAATGTGCTTTTAGGTAAACGTGCTCGATACCCCGCCACGGCTCATTAAAGAAAAGCATAAATCCACGGCTCATTCAAACGCCTGAGAGAGCTCATTGTTTTATCTGAGTAAGCCACCCCAGCGGCGTCGCAGTTCTCGCATTTCACAGCTTCCGCTGCTCTGCGATGGTTTTCGTCAAGAGAAAACTGAAAAGAAAACCTTGGTCACCTTTTTGTGCTTTCCCTCGTAAATAACCATGACAGGTCATCGGTACACAGTTTTTTTTTATTCTTTGCATGACGACAAACAGCGCACGAACCAGATAAAACGCAATAGCAACTGCGGGAGCAGCAGCGATTGCCTACCACGCGAAACCAAACGCCCGACGAGAGCACCACCGCATTTTCATTACGTATGTCCTGTGGAATTCGTCTATAGATACCTACTCCCCGCCAGCTAAGGAGGTCTTGCATAACCTTGAAAGACGACACAATGATGTCTCCTGTGCCGATAATAAAGGGCTATCACCTACAAACGCACCTGCAGTTCACTATCACATTAACTGTAGGTGCATCTGTGTACTCTGAATCAACACTTTAACGCAACACTAAAACAAAGCCGCCCTCCCTGTCTGGCCATCTCATCGGTGCACCCATCAGAGAGCGAGGATGCATCCAGTTTCCTATTACACAGGCGAAAGAACATTGGTCCACACCATGGCTCGGTCACGTACGTCTGGGAATTGTGGAATGCGAGACCCCATTCGCTTGGGTCGTTGCTTAAGGTTGCAACTCGGTGAAAAACTCGCGGTAAAAGCTCTAGGCATGCAGATTTCACGCGTCACGAAGGGGCGAACCACCAGCCGTATTATGAATACTTTACACAAGTTCTGAGACAAACTATGTATTATATAAGGCAAACAAAAATTTCTACAAGGCTCTTCTGTTAAGCCATTCTGAATACAGTACTCAAGCGTCAGTTTCCGGTTTAATGGTCATTCACAGGCATTTCTTTCACGTTTTCTAAAGCTATGCTGTCAGCCAACATGAGGCAACTACTACATAATCATAATCTGTCTAAACGTGCCTTTGAGCATTTCACTGGAAAAATATAAGGAGTGTAACACCCAAACTTGCGAGAAACTATATAACAAATGTTATTGTTTTAACAAATGTTATTGGAAACAATAATATTTAACAAATATTATTGGAAATGAATGCAATGCATTTCCAATAATATTATCAGGGGTTTCATGTCTGAAGACTGGATGATGCATCCGGAATATGTTCTTTTAGGTTAAATGCGTCTATGAAGGGTCACGGAGACTATGTAGCTGCTTTGTGTTAGTCAAACGCGTGAAACTTCCATAATCTTTCGTCAGCCTACTCTCTTCTCTCTTAACATTGCTTACCGCACCACTTGCAATATTGAAGCAGCCTAAGCATTTCTGGCAAATAATAACACCAATAACAGTAAAGACGACTTTTCTGCAACATAAACCGCAAGAGGTATACTAAATGAGGGAGGAAAGTCGACACATCATAAAAGTTTACTGCAGGTGAAGTGACATACCTACGTAGCGACGCAATGCATAGCTATCTACTGTTATCTCACTTAGAAAAATGCCACAAGTGCTAGTTTCGTGAGCTGATTTGTCTTAGAAATATTTATTACTTAGCCATCCTGAAGCAAAAATATTAAAACCAGTATTTTTCGTGCCCTGGAAAAAAAAAGAACAGATACCAAAGTCTACATCTTTTTCTCTGAATTCTAATCTTTTTGATAGTTTCTGCTAAAATTTATTTTGCATGAAGCTGTATACGACTCATCCCAAAATTGTAGAGGTCTCCAACAAAATTACGTATGCAAAGGCACACCACCGTATTGGTTTAAATAATGGAAGATGCAAAACAATTGTTAAAACAACATCCTAAATTATGAGCCACATATGAACCACACCCCATGAAACGTAGTTTTTACAGCAAGCGTTTACAAATGCAGATTGCGGTTGCATAAGCTTCCTATTGTAGCATACGAAGCAGTGAGTGACTTTTCAACACTTTTATACGTAAAAGACAAGTCCATCAAACAATATTTTATTTTCCTTGTGATAGCACTGTGGGAAGGCCGCGTAGAGTTAGGACTGTTGAACAGCAGCCTGAGCACGATCAGCAGGCAGCTACCACTGCTTATTGGAAGTGATTGTGGTTGTCGCTCCTGTTCCAACCTTCCAATCAATCTCATTTATATACCCACGCTCTTTCTATGGACACTGGACAGCCATGCGAACTACACACGACTAACTTGACAGCATTTTTTTTGCATCGTCTATCTCAAGAGTTCTCAAGCACGTTGGTGCCAGAGAACCCTGTTAAGCAACGTTAAGCGCCAAGGAACCCCCTCTCCTGAAGGAGGAGTGGGGTCCTAGTACAATCTTTTTTTTCTGTTTTAGACCTCCCCACATTCTGCGCGCGCTAGCGACGACTATCTTCAAATAGCCAAAATGAGCACGGTGGTATTAGAGGGCCCCAAGATTCAAGCCACCATGCATGCCATTTTCGAAACGACTGGCTGGCTACAAACAGTTGGCCGAATTTATTGTGCAGCTTGCACGTTTCTGTTACGCACCGATACATGCTTATTGACGCTCAGGCAATAAATAATGGAGCTTTCCTAGACCAATCACACCTTGGGATCACCATCTAAGGTAGTTGAGAGGGCGAGTGCAGAACCGAAGAAGCTTATCAATGCCTCGGGGAAACCCCGAGGAGGGGCCTGCGGAACCCACTTTGAGAGCCCCTGCTCTTTGTCTATCGCATTCCGTAAGTTTAGCGTGCCACCAGGGCCCCAGCAGGCAGGAGCACATCAGTCGTTTCTTCCACTAATTGTAAAAAACAAAAGCTTCAGTTGTATGCCCCATGGTGCTCATTACACAATGCCCGTCTTATGCAAGCACATTATTGTCTTAGTCAGGAGAGTATGATAACGATACAGCGATGAAATATGTCAATCTATATCACTTACAGCGCGGCAGGTTAGCGGCAGTCCTTCCTTGTCCTTTTCCACCGGGTCCAGCATGCCCAACTTGACGGCGATCTCGCGCTTTTCATCAGCGATGATGGGGTACGGGAAAGGCCCATCAGGCAGCTCACCATAGGCCTCAATGTCCTGCAAATGCGACAGTGTGCTTCACTACGGAATTCGGCAGAGCGTTACAGTGTAGGCTATCATGAATGGGTCAAATAACTTCTATGCAGGCAGAAATTTGGAAAACTAACTCGGTAACATCTGTTAATGGGCAAGACAACATGAACGTCTATTACTCCAATGTTTGCATGCGGTGACAAACAGTTCTGAGGAATAGCCACTACAATGAAACAAAAGCGATCTGCGGGTGCTCATAAGCGCGCGCGATGATGGACACTGGCAAAGCCGACATCCCAGAATTAAGAAAGAATAGAAGAAAACAGCATAGCAATAGTGCACGTCCTTAAAAGACAGTCCACAATTTACTGCTGCCAGTGGGCTCATCAGAACCTCGAGCATGTGCTCTGCAGACAGATGGCAGAAGATCCGGCAGAATACACCGTAGCGATAGCTCTTGACACCGATTGTCACTAAAAACTGGTTTAGGCGGAAAATCATAGAAGTGATCGTGGGTAGACATCTGGTTTACAGTGTCAAATAGATATGCATTTATTGCACTGAAGAGGACCGAAAATAGCCATCAAACAGTGACCTACGGTTTTCGTCTAACTATAGAAAGAAAAAAAAGGCAATATTATGGGATCGTGTTTGTGTTTAGACACAATAATAACGAGAACTAACAGTCAATGCCGAGAAAAGTATAGGGGATGTCATTTTGTAGTAACTGTGAAGACAAAAAGAGCACGAAAAAATAACTAGCCGCCGGTAAGGTCCGCGAGGGTCTCATAGGGAAGGACTTGATGCTTCTAGGCAGTATGAGAGAGATTTTTGGTCAACTCTCATCTCCTAATATGAGCAAGTGCTACATCATGCCAAGAGAAAAAAAAAGTGTTCCGAACTCACCCTAACGACTACTGGCGACGCTACTTCCCGACGGCAAGTTATCTTTTCGTTCACTTTTGCTTCTTCACATTTACATTATTATACTTTTAATAACATCCCCTATACTTTTCAGGAGGGCATAGTCTGTTCGTTCTCATAATACTACAAGTAGAAGATATTGTTTTAGAACGTAGAGGTGTATACTATTACACAACAATTGCTAGCCGGATAAAAATATTAAACCTCATCTTCCGCCGTTACTCTCTCTGACCACCTGTAACACTCACCCGCTCTTGAATTCCAATCAGTTACTCTTAATGACTATAGACTACTGGGACTTCTCATTACATACCCTACCATTTTTTATTGATTCAGGTAAAATTTCCGCAAAATATGTTTGCTCTCAGGCCCACTCTGTTCTCCTGTATCTTCACATCATACGCCTATCTTTTCTCTCACGGCTCACTGTTGCACGTCAGCCCCACATTATGTAGAATCCTTGTCATAGACCTTCCGTCCCACAGGTAATACCTGTAAGACGCAGCTGTTTTACATTTCTCACTTGCGAGATTATGGACCGAGAATGTATGAATGCACTCCCCCCCCCCCATCATTATTCTTCAGTGGACTTCAGTTTTATGGCGACGATCTGCAGTCAATGTTTGCCCCAAGTATAGCTTCTACATATACTTCTGCCTCTCTGCCTATCGCAAAGCACTGCTTTTCCTAGATGATCGAATAATCGTTTTCTGTTTATTAACATTTGAAAGAGTCGTGCTTTGCCTGTCCAATACTTTGATGAACAATCCCATCTCGTGGCACATAATGCAACTTTTCAGTAACTTTCGATAAAAACAGCGACATGTGGGGCATCCATAAATTGCGCAATTCTAGCACTCAAGTGCAATCACTATCACTTAAGCGCTTTGTTAAAAAGAAAACATGACAAACTTATTACAAAATATTTTTCACAGTTTTTTTTCTTGCGAAATTTCCATCTGTTGAGAAGGTGACATCGAGCCAATAACCACCCACGATATTTAGTGAGCTAGAGTTGCTTTTAGGTATCGTGAACATTTTCTGCTTAGTGTAATATACACTCATGCAATGCACAACTAAATATAGACGCAAGATTTCTACGAGCTGGCAAGCTCGTGGTTAAGGACAAGATAGCGATTTGGAATACGGACCCCTACCCGAGGAAAACAACCTCATAAAACCCTCGCACACTTGTAATTATTCCATTGTCTTTCTTACGCTCCGCACCATACAGCCTTGTTGAGACTTGATTCGGCTATATCGATCAACAATGAGGATAACGTCTCATTTCTTTTTTTTTTTCACTGAACTTTATCTTATATGCACTGCATAGTCACCTTCACAATGCAGTTCTCACAGTGCTCCATCATCTATCTCCCACTGGCCAAGAACGAATTGCGTTCAGATTATATACACGTTGACAAATTATATAGTTTTTGTGGCGAAACAAGTTCACAGCAAGAGAAGTGTTCTCACAACGTGCGCTCTTGTGGAAAAAAGTAGGATGGACGCAATGGTTCTGTTGTCAAAATGTAGCACTATCAAGATGTCAGTTACATGCGATAAAAAAAAAAGTGGCCATCCTTGAGCTGCCTGTAGATCGTAGTTAGCAACAAAAAAGATGAAAGTGATTCATCTTCACGATGAATCCCATCTTCCCTACCCATGTCATCCTTTCGTGATCAAGTTCAAGGGCACGATCACGACAGGGAAACTCTGCCTTCTGCAGACATTTCCACTGTCGAGGAGCAGTGGCCCGATTGTGCTCCTGTGTACGGTGGGTCTCTCGTGGCAATCTTTGCGAAACTCCTTGCGACAGGCCTCAGCGAACGCCATCCGGTGAACTCGCAAGTCTCCACACCATCCGGTAGATGTTGAGGTGCAAGCCTCTATCTTACTATATGTTCTACCCTATCGTCAAACGCACGTGCCTCACACTGCTTGTGAATTTCACTATGCTCATTTGTGACTGAACAGAAGCGGATCTGCACGCTTTAAATATTTCACCAACTGAATGTGTGAACACCTACGCCTTGCGAAAAGACGCTTCTCGAGAACAAGGTCTCTAACACGTCTCCTGTCGTTTTCAGCAAACATTTGTGCACACAGTGCAAGTCTCATACTTTTGCAACGGCTTCTGATGGGGCCGTCCCAGTTCCACGAAGCACAGTTTTGCTTAACGCAGTCCTGAGAACATCCAGGATCCCCAAAGTTGCAATGCTGCAGAAGCAGAAGCCACGTCCACAAACAGCGAGAGAACTTTGCCTATTGACGCAGTCACCCACTGGGAAAGGGAAACAACGTATGACCCATTTGTAACAGTCTTGGCGCATTCGGTCACTTTTCAAGAAAGCCTTTTGTTTTTCAGATCTTGCCGTTAGAAAACTCGAAGTTTTTGAGTGGGCACGTCTAGTAGGCATGAAAACATCACTTCAGCAATAGCTCTCAGTATTGAATGTACTCGTCGCGCACCTTGATCCATCCATGGTGGCTTTCGACGCTGTCACAGGACAGAGCGATGATCTTTACGCCTTTCTTTTCGAAGACGTGCGCGAGCTGGGCCGCCCGGGCCAACTCAGTGGTGCACACTGGCGTGTAATCAGCTGGGTGCGAGAATAGGATGCCCCACCTGCACAGGGCCGAATATAAACGAAGGAACAGTTAACAACATGAAATCTGCAGTGTATACGGACATTAACGATCGATAGCACGTTATGTGACGTTAACCCTCAAAAACGGACATTAACCAGCAATAACCATTTATAAAACCACAAAACTCTCGAATCAAAAATAATGTCAACACATCTAAAATATATTGAAGTTATATGTTCAGTGGCGGTCAAAATTTTGCGAACCACGGGAACAGGTGTCATCCAACGCCACAGCGCTTTCTAACGGCTGCCTGCGAAGCTCGAGAGCGCACCGACCACGTGCGTTTTTTTTACCTGCCAGCATGCTTGTTCACCGTCTTTCAACACTAGAAGAAGTGCAAGGTGCGAATTCTACTGTCGCTGCGGAAGCCCCGAGTGGCTATATTGCAACAAAAACACGTACTTAATAGTGGCAGAGCTCGATGCGTGCCGCCTTTTGGCCATTAGTCCAAGACGTTACACAAAACACTTCCACAAGACACCGCGAGAAATTTCAACGTGCATGTCTTCTACGAAGCAAAACTGTCCAGTAACCTTATCAGTAAGGACGAATTTTGAAAAACTGAAACCGCTAGCATCTTTACGGCGCCGCGGAGTCTGGGAGAATGCAGCAAGTACCGTGCACTGCCGGTACAAATTACATGTTTTCGTGCCAACATCATCGCTCTGGGTTTGGACGGTGACAGCAGAAGCAACACTTTGCGCTTTTTCTGGCATTCATTCGAGTGCGTGCGCTGTGAAGGGAGCGAACGAGAAGGCTGGCGGTAAAATAGGTGCATGTGGCCAGTGTGCGCTCTCGAGTTTTGAAATCAGCCGTAAGACAGTGCCGTGGTGGTGTTTGACACAAGCGCTGCATGCACCGTACTAGATGAAACTACCTACAGTGGCCGATGACCGATGATTTAAAACAGCTTGTATTCATATCGGCTTCTGTTATCATTGGCCAATGCCCGGACAGCGCGACAGAAAAGGGCACGGCCTACAACAAAATATGGGCGAAATGGTAGCAAAAGCCTCAAATCTTTTTCAGAAGTGTGCGTTTCTCTTAGTTCTTTGCCCTTCTCAATAACTAGAAAAACAAAAATTTTGGAAAGTATCTATTGGCATGAAGGCCAAGGGCTTTCCTGACCTGACACATACCATGATTGCTGGCAAATGCTCACAGAATTTTCCTCTTCATCAAGCATACTTACTTTGGTGTACTACATATTATTCGACAGAAATTCATGGCCCGCGAACAGGTACAAGAGGGAAAAAAGTGAAGCGGTTGGAGCGAATGTGTCCGTTTCTTTGGTGCACTTTTTAAGGAAGTCGGACGAACAGGTACCAGACGATCCAGACAATCATTTTTTCCGGTCTATAATTCAGTTGACACTGGCTACTCTACAGAATACCTTTTTTTTTTTATTTCTTTTCATCCAAAGGACCAAAAATGTACCAGCAAGTGCACAGTGTGGCGTTTAAACTGCACACTTTTTACCACGCATCCGTAGTTTGGCCCATGCACAGCCCTACTGCGCTGAAGAAAAATAGTTCACCAAAGCATCCAAACAGGCACTTCTCAGAAACCCACAAACTGAAATGTCTGAAGCGCTTACGTATAGTAGAAAAATGATCAATAATAGTGCAATTATTTAGCCTGAGCCAGTATACACACATGCACCATTTATGCTCACTTCCACCTTCCACCGCGTGTATTACTGCGTGCTTTCTTCACCTTGTTCGCAAGTTGGATGGATGTCACGGCCGTGCAGCAACGAGCTTTTCATTCAAGTTGAAGTAGAAGGCGAGTAAAGATAAGTAGTACCTGTATTTGCCCTTGTCCTCTCAGCGACATATGCGAATTCACGGTCAGGTTTACGCCAGCGAAAATAGCTCATGTGTTAAGAAGCGGGCGCTGTGTAGTCCTAGCTGTAGTCTTAGCTCGTCTCGGGAAGACTGCACATGACCTAGTTTTCTCATGTTGGAAGTAAAAACCGGACATATTCGAAACGCTCTTCGGTACAGTGTTCGAGCACCGATTCAATTCGGCGTATTTTTTAAATGAGCGATACACTGTTTTCGGGGAAAACAGTGAAGTTGACTGAAACGGCCTGGCACGGTCCGAAAACAGTCGCCCAGCCACCGGTTATGTATGTTAACGCGCGGTGCGCGGCCATTTCTTGTTCTCTTCTGGTGGTAGTACCTGTCGCTGACGAGGAGTGCATCTCGCTAACACGCCATGTGTCTTAGGGACGATGCCAGAGCTTTATTATTTATTTTGAAATAATAAACTTCTGCGAGCGCTCATACTTAGAACGTAAAATAGACATGAACGCTGGTGCCGAGTGTGAGAAAGTCATGAGATCATCTACCTTCCAAATACAGCCGCGCATGTATTTTTTTTTTCGTAAACCTTTGGCTCAATAAGGTTCCTCGGTATTGTTGGGTCTACTTTAGTGGAGTTCGGCTTATGAAAAAAAACTGTTATGGCGTAATTTAGCTCCAGCGACTTCGGCGTTTCATTTATAAATATGAGGAAGTTGTCATTTCAAATGGTGGCGCAGTTTTGAAAGTTTTGGTTGGTCAATAAGTACGCAACATTGGCGAGCCATGCTATTATGAATGTAATAGATTTCTCCAGAATTTTCAATGTATAATTTGTTGTAAAAGATCTATCAGCTAAATGTATTACTTGTAATGTATATCTGTTCTATTTTCTTGCATGGAGTGAGTGCCACACGTCAGACTATCATTAAATTACACAAAAACACGATTCTTGCAGTTGTACAACAGGAACTTTATAAAATTTCCACTAAAACGCTGTTTACAAGAAATCGATCGGCCTGAATACTTACAGTGTTTTCTGAATTTCAATCACAATTTTTAGAATGAAGGCCTACTTTTGTCAGTCCTAGAAGTACTGCATAGAATGTGCAATGAATATCTTGATAAACAGGTCTGTTTTGGCAAGATTATCTTTCTGTTGGCACCACAACCACTGCATATAGTTGATTTATTGATATGTGGGGTTTAAAGTACCAAACCAACTATATGATTATGAGAGACGCCGTAGTGGAAGGCTCCGGAAATTTCTACCACCTGGGGTTCTTTAACGTGCACCCCTGCATATACAACAGACTTTTTTTAAAGCTTTTAAACATGTGTTACGTTTAGTATCAACTTTCCAGTATATTTTGCTTTTTTTTGTTACAGATTAGCAATTTGGTCCGACGAAATGTCAGCAGTGCTGAATACATCGTGCACAGAAACATCCATCATATTATATCTAATGGGGTGACAAAGAACTGTTAGGTCACTGAGAAGACTTTTCATTTAAAAGTCTACAAAAGTGCTGCTTGCCGAGCATAAACAAAAAACAAATTGGTTTCTTACTTAGCTTTTATAGGCAACATTCTTATGAATGTTATGTAGACTTCTCCATGCTGTGATATTTTCGTTGCGATTCTTTAGGGAATGTTTCACTAGGGCCAGAATGTTGCACATACTGCGTCACTGATGTTTGTTTGGAAACTTGACCGTCTGGTACAATTTTCCCTAAAAAAAAACACAACTTTTGCCATCTGGAGCAAGATTGAGCATTGAAACAGTTTCACTGCCACCATATGTTATCTACTTCACTGTTGTATATTTTTATTTCCTCTTATATCAGCTTGCCGATTCCTGGGACCTGCGAACCAGAGCACATAACCAATTTCATCGTTTAACAGTCAGCTTCACGGCTAAGCAGCAGGACTGCCAATAATGACCAATGAAATAAAATAAAGCATTGACAACAGAAGCTACACGACAAAAATAACCTTTGTAAGTAAAGGTGCATCGACTACCTCAGTAACACTGAAAAATATAAATGTATGTGCCTACAAGAAAAATACAAGGACACTAAACACTGCTTCTGCGCCAATGCTGCTTCTGTAACGCCATCAGAAAAAATATGATCTTTTTTCTTTCATTTGAGAGAATATATGTTCTGGAAAGGGGTCCGGGATAGATAGTTTTTTTAAGACTTGTTTTTCTTCATTTCTTTTGTATTTATGGGGTTCTCGCATGACTATGCACGCTAATTCAGTATTAAAAATGCATCAAGAAGTCCAAAAACTCTTCCGGTCTGTGCAGGTGCTGTCATCCTTACAATCATGCATAACCAGTTAGCTCCCCAACAAATGTTCCTGCTGTCTGTTTTGTTGAAAATTTCTGAAAGTGATTGCCTAAGAGAGGGCTTAATAAAGTAAATGACCTCATGTTTTTCTCTTTACAGATGAGACATACCCTGTTCAACAAAACTGATGCAGCTGTTTCGGACGTAACAGAAGGACGACTCGTGTTTGCTTCAGATCAAGAAGGTGCATCTATACAAAAAAGGCATGCCACTACGATAGATGACTCCAAGAGAAGCCCACGCAACACTTCAGAATCACAAGAGTTTAGGAAAGAATGGAAAAATGACATATATATATATATATATATATATATATATATATATATATACATATATATATATAATGTATTAAATAAACCTGAAGCACCAGAAATATTAGCTTTGTTACTTCTCGAGGGGGAGGGAAGCATGTGAAAATCGAGAAAAAGGTAGCCGGGCATCAAATTGTAGGCAAGACAAAAAACTAAAATGTCCAGAAATTGCCTTGGCTAAAATGCTTGGCTCCCACGCCAAGAACATGGTTGGCTTTTTGCATGGTATTCCAATATAGTGCCAAACATGGAAAGGGGTGTTTCCAACAATTTCCCAAGCACGGCCCTCCTCTGCTTGGCCAGTAGTAGGCTTGTCACACTTCCTAAGCACGTACTTCTCTTGGCCACCGATAACTTTCGAAGCATGTACAGCTTGGCCACTGATGATTTACCATGATTTGGCCAAGCGAATTTCGCTGGTAGGGGAGAATGGATCAATTAGCACAGTGGCTCTACTGGAACGAGAGGGGGAAAGAACTGCAAAATGGGTGCCGTAAACGAAGTAGGT